TCTAAATCTCTTAGCATTTTTATCTTCCCATAAATAGGTCAGAGTGTAAGTGATAGGTGCTTTAATAACCCGAGAATATTTCCTAGACCTGTTAGTTATATAAGTCGTCCACCAATCCTCTATAAACTGGGGGGGATTAGTTATGTTGATAGTAGTATAAAACTAGTGCCAAATTTTCTTTGAGAAAGAACAATAAAAAATAGGTGCTTAAAGGTTTCAACATTGTTCTACAAAGACTGCACCTAGAAGGCATTTGACACCCTTTGTACTTGAGGTTATCATTATTTGGAAGTTTGTCTAACATGAGCTTCCAAATGAACATAGATTTGGAGGGGGAAATATCTTCACACCAAATAATTTTAGCCTAGTCAGAGGTGATTGAAGGATCTTTAAATTTGTAGGCTTCTTACAAAGAGAGGGGTCTCGTGTGGTTTATAGGCCAAATAAGGGAGTCTGCATAATTGATGTTACTCAAGTGTATACATTGAAGCCTATGTCTAAGGAAAGGGAACAAAGACATTACTATAAAATATACATTTCGTAACACCAATTTTACAACGGCTATAGTGTTAACCATGATAATAGTTTATTTCTGGGGGCTTTTTTTTTTATTTACTAGAGGACATGTCACAACGGTCAAATAAAGCAGCCGTGGTGAAAAGGTACACAGGGTGAAATGGTTCGAATCTCATCACCTATAATTAGCCATTTATCGTGATAAAAATATTATTGACCTTGTATATCACTACAGTTTTTATTAACAATTGTGATGAAAGGTGAACTTTATTTATATATAAGCAAAGTTATATATCGCTTCATTACATAACAACCGTCTTTCTCAAAACAAAACCTTAACAACTATTTCACTCGTCTCTCTCAAAGAAAAACCCTAACAACTCTCTCACTCGTCTCTCTTATATGGAAACCCCAAAACAAAACCATAACAATAAATCTTAACCAATGATATTTACAGGTTCTTTTACTCTATAGTTTTTTTTTCAAAATCTATTTCAAGAGTTTGTTTCATGATGTTTAAACTTCCTTCTTGTTTTGACTTGTAAGTATGGATGTTTCTTTCAATAAAAATGACGAAGATAAATTTAGCCTTACAAACTTGTGTCAAAGACCCAGAATTACATCCATTCAAGATATACACAAGTTTCCAGGTCTAAATTTATCTTCATCCTTATTTAACTGACAACGCTCTTTTATGGGACATGTATGGTATGTTTCTGAAGCATTTTATGACTTGATATGTTTGTTGTATCATTTTTGTTGTTTATGAATGTTTTTTATGAATGTTATTGTTAATATTTGTTTAAAAGATGAGTTTATTATATATTATGTGGTTTGAGTGTTTTTCCAATTCCTTCCCGAATATATAACTTTTCAAACTGTATTAGAAAATTATGATATGATAGATAAAGTTGTATTAGAAAATAAGTTCACGTTCAATTTTTGACAAGAATTCTTCACACTGTTAATTGCATGTTGTTCTTTGACCGTTAGAACCTGGTTTAATGATCGTAGATCTTCAACCACATCTCTCTCCATCTCTAATTTTGTTTGCAAAGTAAATAATATTTTGCAAAAATAATTAGAGGTGAAAACATAGGCGATTGAAGAACTAGGATCATTAAACCAAGTTCTTACTGTCAAAGAACAAAATACATATAAGGACTTGAAGAACTCTTGTCAAGCATTGAACGTGAACTTATTCTTCTAATATAACTTAATTTGTCATATTATAATATTCTAGTGCAAATTTGAAGGTTATATCTTTAGTGAGTATTGGCGAAATAAATATTCCACATAATTTATGATAAACTCAGGTCTATATTTAATCGCGGTTGTTTAGAACAATCGTGATTAATATGTTGCATTAAATAATATCACAACAGTTATTTAATGTAATCGTTATGGTAAATAGCAGCACGCTACATGGATACAATCACAATTGCACAAGTGTGGTGGAAATCATCATACATATAATCACACCTTACCTCATAATGGTTGGACCAGCGTGGTGATATCTCTTTTTTAACTGATATGATATGTGTTTTTCGTAATATTGAGAGAGCCTACCATTAAAAAAGTGCCATTCACCATTGATTATAAACTCTGCAACTCTTAGTATAGAGGGCAATATCATTAGATACGAGAAAGTCAGTGCTAATTTCTTGAATAAAAGGATCACCACAGCAAGCATCATGCCAGAATTGAATATCTTTCTCATTTCCAAGAGCCTAGGTGGAACGGATCTTCAAGTTGTGCAACTCTTGCTTGATTGTGGACCATATGAAAGAAAAAATGTGATACTAATAGTGAACATATCCCAACCAAACTTCAAATTGGTAGTTTCATTGAGCCTAAAAAGTGATCGTGTACCTAATCCACTACGATTTTAAGGCCTACACATTTTTTTCTGAGCAACAACTACCAACTTCCTTTTGTTAGTGCTTCACTCCAGATGAAATTTTGTGTTGTCTTTGCAATGTTTTTAAGTAAAGAAACAGGCCATATGGTGTGAGTTAACATGCTTTAAATAACAGTCTTTAAAGTATATGATTTGCGAATGGCATCACTAAAATTTTCTGGGAATCATTTTCAATGCATATATAAAATTAAAAAAAAGAATTTAATTGCATAGTGTGTTTCCCGAATCTTCCTTCTTTTATGTGTTAGTCTGCAAATACAATATATTTTTCGGTAAACACATAGCTTGATAAAGTTGCGCCTAAGTAAAATAATAGGAAGAGAAATGTTAATAACGCTTTATTTTCAACACTTTTTTAAACACTCACTATTTTATTGGTTGAAATATGTGCGGGTTCTATCACTTTATGTGAGACTTATTTATAGAGTGAGGAACTCACATATGTTTCCACTAATAAAAAGTGAGTGTTTGAAAGAGTGTTGAAAAGAGTGTTGCTAGTACTCCTCATAATAAAAATTACTCTTTCTACCTTCAAGAGTGCATCTCATATCTCTAAAAATTCAAAATGTCCCTGTTATGTCCGAAGATGCATCATTGGACGCATTTAAAATTACACAAAAAAACACATAGCAAATAAGATACTATTTTGCCCAAAAAAAAAATTTGTTCGAAAATGCATCTCCAGATTTTAAAGATGCACATCTGTAAATTGTTACCGTTGAAGTCTCTTCTTCAAACATTCAGTTTTGTGCCTCATAACAAGTTTCCTTACTTACATTTTTCTTGTAATATTTCCAGGAATATGATACTCAATGTATATGATTTTTTATAGAATATTATCCATGTTTTTTATTTTCTTGACAATATAGGAAGACATTTTTGCATGGGCGAATTGGAAAGAAAAAAAAAAAGTGTATTGTTGTTATGAGTGGAGAGAGTATGGTAAGTTTGGTTTCTAATGTGTGATGTCTTTTATATGGTTATATTTCATTTTTTTTTCTTAGTCTGTTGTTTTCTTTTCTGTAGCTATATGTAGGTCTTGCCACTCAATTGTTGCTTACTTTATTTTTTTGTTTAATGAAGGAGTTCTTTCATTATGGAATTGCAGGTAATACAAATTTTAAATTCTAAATTGGAGATGTGACTATTCCACAATATTAAGCTCATACAAGATTTGGAGGTACATATTCTAGGCAACAGTTTAGGGAAGTGGATTTTCAGATTTCGGAAATAAATCTTCAGAGATGTTTTTTTAGACAATGAAAGTGTCTCACTTGCAAAGTCTTTGTTAATCTGATTATGAATGCGTCCGAAAATATATCTTCAATTTTTGTGGAGAGTTATGACATTTTACAAGGGTGGAGAGCACTCCTAGGGTAGAAAGAGCAATCCCCAATCTAATTTCACCTAAACATTCAATAGAACTCACAGTATGTCATGTGAGCCCACTCTACCTCAATATAAATTTGCTTACCACCTCTAGATGTTTAAACCCTATGTCATCAGTACCATATTATTTTACTACACTTTCTCTTCTTTCATAATACTTCCCTTCCAAGCTCCAGGTCTTTATCTTAAAGTTTAACGGCTAGTTCGTGCGTCTTGCAATTCTCTCCTCTCACTCACCCTGCCATCAAAACTTTGGAAACTTTGCATTTGAAATGAAAACAATTCAGACAAATCACAACCAATATCAATATAGGAGTATAAAGTTACTTACCACCTTCAGATGTTTAAAACCCTATCATTAGTGCCATACTTTACTATTACACATGCTCTTCCCTCACAACACTTCCCTTCCAATTCTTCGTCTTAAACATGCCTCGTCCAATCCTCACCTTCTTCACCCTGCCATTAAAACTTAAGTAACTTGTTTGAAACTAAAACATTCAGGCCGAGCACGGCTAGCATCAATATAGAAAGCTTACTTACCACCTCCTGATGTTTTAACAGAGTAGCTTAGTGTATTCCAGAGCAACTTGCGGCAAGACAATATAGATCTATAAAACTAAGCAGTCTTGAACACCAGTGTCCAAAATGAAGCCAAATTAATTGCACAAATATTGGGCTACTCATCCAGTTAGCCACCAACTTCAACAGCTTCTACTTCTTCAACAGCTTCTACTTCATCAACTATGCTCAAGGCCATTACCCAACAATGAACACATCTCAATAAATAAATAAAAATATGAATTGGGTGGACAGAAAATATCTGCCAGTATTCAAGAATAGCACCAAAGCATTCTTTCGATTAAGGTTGCTAACCAAATGGTTTTAACTGTTTTCAAAAATCCATCCTCTAGTCTAGAAGAAACAATGGAAAAAAAGAAATAAAATTATTACTCTATTGACCTGAAATACTACTAAACTAGTCTTAAGGATAACAATGCTAGCATAGCAACAACGAGCTGAGCACCAAAAACTATTAGCAGATGCCTAATACACAGCTTCAGATTCACCACAGGACACGGGCCAGAGAAAGAAATATCCAAATGCTGCAAGTGCACTGATAAGCAGAAGGCAAGCAAGTAGTTAAGGAATAGTCTAGGAACATATATTCCTTCTAGCTTTTCTGACGTTTATTTCCCCTCTTGACCTCACCACTTCCTTCTGCCTTTGATGAACCTGATGTCTTGCCCTTTGTATATTCCTCCTCTCTTGCTGAATCATCCGAGTCATCAACTTCTATAAATTTTTTCTTCAAAGAACCAGATTTCTTGCCACCACGGTCGCCAGTAGACTTTCCACCACTATTTGGGGGCTTTCCCTCAGAAGCAGCAGTCTTTGGGGTCTTTTGGTTGGTTGCTCCACTCTTAAAGGTTTCCTGCTTAGACTTGACAGAGGGTTTTGGAGTGATAGTGTCGTCATCCTTTGGCTTGCTTGTCTTGGAACTACCAATCTTCTTGGATTTACTAGTCATTTTCGGTGCAGCAGATGTAGGAGTGTTGTCCTTAAACTTTCTGCTAACTTCATCCTCAGAATCGCTAATAGTATTGGATTCTTTGGATTTGTTTCCATCCTTAGACTTCTGACCAGACACCAAAACACCCTTTGATTTACTTGATCCTGATGCCCCGCCACTACAAATCAAAGGAGTAAAAAAGTTAGAAGATAATAAATTTAATTTCTTTTATTCTCTCTACAAAGTAACACTAAACAAAGAAAGTATTAAATAGTTTTTATGCTTGCAAAATATTAAATTTGTTTACTTCATTTGATAATAATTTCTCTATTTAACACAATGATAATACTGAGAAAATATAACGAGTTCAATAACTATATATGGACTGTTTAAGATGCACAATCTTATTGGTACTATCTTGCACAACTGCCCGAGCAGCCCCCTAATAAAATATGATGTGGATATACAATAAAGTATAATTGGAATTATATGTCAAACATATTAAACCGTCAATTGATATTCATTAAATTCATACTTCAATAAATATGCAACTGTAACAAGCACGACTGTTCCTAAAACTAATTATGCCACCTAAGAGCACTGCTTCTAGTTGCTCCATTTGATTTACTAAATCCAGTTGCTCCACCAAGACAAATCCAAGTAGAAAAATTGACATCAAACAAAAGGTGGTTCATAAAAGTTGATATATCAATATTGACAAACCTCGAGGACAGCTTTCCATGCTTAGTTGGTCCACCGAAACTTGTTTTTCCTTTCTTTTTTGTAGGCCTGAATAGGATTTTAAAAACAGTACACCAAAATAAGAACAAAATTGCTTCACAAAGGATCTTCTCCAACCAAACTCCAGTCAATAGAAAAACAATCAGATGATGAGTCAGATTGCTAAAAATGTCTCTTTTTATTGAAGAATAACAGTTTCCTATTTATACACACATTGCAACTTGCTAATAATTGCGAACAGGCCTGCCCAGACCATTTAATGTACAGGTTTATGCAGATTGGATTAAATGAGGCGGGCCAGCCTGCACACACAACTCTAGCTATAAGACTAATGCTTGAGCCCAACGTGGTGGAACTGTGAGACCAAGTGGAGTACAAACACACACAAACATGCATACAAAATAATTTAGGATGGTTTTCTGACTATATAGCAAAAAGATATATCTAAAAAAGCAATATGCAATACATACATTTCAAGGGAAGCATCGAGACTGGCATGATCACTTCCTTCCTGTCCACAGTAATAGTTGTCATTAATTTAGGCACAAAGAATATGATGTAATAAATATAGGTTAGAGACAAACCCCATCTGCAACTGAATCAGCTTCAATGGAATTCCATTTTTGCCTCGCAAGGTTTAATACTTCAACTTCACCATCATCATAAACCACCTAAAATAGAAAAACATGCATCAGAAGATAACAAGTGCCTTTCGACAAGCTTTACAAAAATGCTTTTATGATATAGCATTTTTTTCATTCTGCTAACCTTTCTAGTTTCAAACTTACGAGAGAGTATAATAAAACTTTATTTGGGGTTTTTTGGAAAAACTTCTCCAATTATCTAAAAAACTTATACACGTGTTTTTAAAAGTAAAAAGTGCTGCTGCTTGAGAAAATAAAAACAAACAATGGAGCCCATGATTGCAGATCTAGCATGTTATATTTTTATGCCATTTAAAGTTATATCTTTAAATGTACACCCTAAAACAGACACGCAAAAGCATGCTTTTAAATAAGAAATTTATCGGAAGAAATAAAGCAGAATGGAACAATTACTATTCAAAGGGGAGGAAATAATCAAATGCATACAATGAGACCATAAAGAACAGAGTATTTTTCTAGCAATAGGGAGGGGAGGGTACAGGAATAATTTAATGAACAGCCAAATCACCTTGTGCTTCTTTTTTATAGGATCAAAATGTTCAATGACACCTTTGTAAAACCTGCAAACAATTATATATTTGTCAAAAAAGATAATATAGATTTCTATTCCGCCAAATTGAAAAGGCAAAATCTCTTACGGCAGCATGTCAAAAACTAAGAAATGGAGAGTACTTACTCACGATCCTTAGGCCACCATACTTCAACTCGTAAACCAACAAGCTTTTCATCGTGTTCCTTGATCCCAGATCCCTGATAGCAGCAAGATATTTAGCAATCAAAATAAAAAGAGAAGATAGTTTTTGTAATTGCTAATCAGAAATACGAATACATAGCTGCAAAAAGGATTTTCCCAAAGAAAATGTACTACAGGGAACACATCATGAAGATTTCATATTATTTTTAGAAATTGAGTGTAAATGCCAAACAAGATACACACATTTTTTATTCCTGGGGCGGGTTTCCTCTTTGCATGTGTTTTGGGAGTCTCTAACTTTTCATCTTCTAAGACGGGTTTCCTCTTTGCACTTGTTTTGGGAGTCTCCTCTAACTTTTCATCTTCTAAGGCGTGTTTCCTCTTTGCACTTGTTTTGGTAGTCTCCTCTAACTTTTCATTTTCGGAGGATTTGGTATCGGACCTTGGAGAAGAAACCATTTCCTATATTAACAATTAATAATGATTCCATCAATAATTTGTTTTTAAAATGAATAAAGCAAAACAAAATCATGTTGAAATGATAAATAGTACAAATTAATAATAAGAAAGAAAAAGACTGTTTAAAAAAGAACAAAAAGTACCTTATCAACACCTACACTAGAAGACTTTGCTGCACCCGTCTCTGAGTTAGCTTCCCCCCACCCCAACTTTTTCTCATCTACAAGCTGTCTGGAAGACGATCCACCACCACCACCCTCGTTATCATTCAATTTCTTGGCAGAGTGCTTTTTAGCATCAGCACTACTAACAACCCCACTTTGTGTTTTGTCTGAATCTGTACCAGCAGTTTTTTTTACACCAGAGTTTCGACCAAGTGCCTTTTTCACTGACCGCTTGACAGGTTTGGCTTTTGATATACTTGCTTCTTCAGATACCTTTTTCGAAACAACTTCAACATTTGCAGGGCTTCCTTTAGTTTTTGCTTTTCCAAGTTTCTCTGAATGATTTTCGTCAGGAACGCTGTCACTAGGTGAAGGAGAAGCCACAACTTCAGATTCATTATTGCGAGCTTCCTTGCTGTAACTTTCAGAATCCAACATTTTCTCAGCTTTCTTTTCATTAGCAACAACTTGACATTGAGACAGTTTTGCAGATTTGGTTGAATAGCTTGATTTCCTCCGACTCTTTTTGGTGGCTTGTTCCGGTTTTTGTTCATTCTTGTCAACTTTTCCGTCACCCAAATCATTGAGCTCCTCTTTGGAATGATCATAAAAATCAGTATCCTCTTTCTTTGTAATGGACTTAGAATCTCCTAAAGTGGCGTCTTCTCCAGCAGATGCAACACCATTGTTTGTGACTGACTTGGAAGATCTATTCCCCTCCCGATTATCGTCTGGAGAATGTGCAGCTTCCTCTGGTTCCTCTTTAACCACCGCCTGATCAAACCATAATTAACAATTGTATTTTTCAATTCTAGAAGATAAAATACAGAACCAGATCAGATGAATAAAAAAGAAATATACAAGATGGGACACATACTTGGCTTGACTCCTCAAGTGGTAGTTCAGCTGACTTGGTCTCGTCTTCCTAAAATGATCAAATGAATTCATAATAAATTTTTTAGTGTCAATTCTTTGAAAAGTTAAATGACTCGGGACTGATCAAACCATAATTAACAATATTGTATTTTTCAATTCTAGAAGATAAAATACAGAACCAGATCAGGTGAATAAAAAAGAAATATACGAGATGGGACATACTGGGCTTGACTCCTCAAGTGGTTGTTCTGCTGACTTGCTCTCGTCTTCCTGAAATGATCAAATGAATTCATAATAAATTTGAGCGTCAATTCTTTGAAAAGTTAAATGACTCGGGACTGATCAAACCATAGTTAACAATATTGTATTTTTCAATTCTAGAAGATAAAATACAGAACCATATCAGATGAATAAAAAAGAAATATAAAAGATGGGACATACTGGGCTTGACTCCTCAAGTGGTAGTTCTGCCGATTTGCTCTCCTCTTCCTGAAATGATCAAATGAATTCATAATAAACTTTTGAGTGTCAATTCTTTGAAAAGTTAAATTGCTTGGGACGGGAAGAAGAAAAAAACTTACTTTGGGCTCACTAGTAACACATACACCATTTTTCTCCAAGCTATCACAGGTATCTTGGCATATTGAAGCAAGTACTTTGCTATAATCATCCACAGATATACCCAAGATTCTCACTGCTTGCACTAGGTAGGGTTTAAGTTTGGTTGCACAATTTTCAAGAACCCTCTCTCCCAATTTTCGGGCAATCGGTGAAACTTCCTGGACCACGATGATTGATGATAATGACAAATGACAAATATATTAACAATTTAAACAAGGATCAAGCTCAAAATCACAAACTATTGAGAAGAATTAAAATCAAAACTGTCAAACTCCAACCTCATTGTCTTTCTTAATGCTGTCCAGGAGAGGAGAAAGCAAATCAAAGGATATTTCTTCACTTTCCTCTAGAACAAGTGTCATAATGGTTTCCATGGATGAAAAAACATTCTCTGGATGATGTTCCCTGATTTCCAAACGGAGCTGATTAGAATCATATCCCCGCGTATAAATTTATCTAAATATCAAATGAAAAGTTTTTGTATGCACGTATCATGAACTATCCTTAAAACTTTTCCAGTAAAAGCACATAAATGGCTTTATATTACATCTCTAACATGTCCCTAAGAGCTCTAAGGAGTAAGCAACTCTCCCAATTTCCCAAAAGATAAAGATGTTTGGTGAAAGCATGTGAATGTTTTTATATTGTATATCTAACAGTATGTACCAACTATATTGTAGAAAGTGATTGCATTTGTTACTACATGTTTACAAGATAGTAAGCACAATAAAAAAAGAAAAGAAAAAAAAAACACACACATTATAGTTCGTGCCAACAGTATCATGAAATAGCAGATTAAATTTAAAGTGGCATTATAAATGATAGCATCCAACACCGTGATGATAGTAACGGACTTGTACATAATTGCTCCTAGAGTCTCACCTTATTGCCTTTAAAAAGTGCTGAAACATCTCCAAAATCAGCCCATCACATTCAAGGTCCAGCATTACCACGCATGATCTGACTTTGGCAACTGTTTCCAGAATTGCTCTCCTCTTCGCATAAGATCGGCTTGAGATATCATGTAGCTTTTCAAATGAAGATACAACTAATTGAAATATCTCCTGCAAGAAAAATTCATGATGTCTTTTGTGAAGTGCATGAGAACAGGCAGGCCCAATGAAACTCTAGGAAAAAAAAAATCACACACCTTCATTTGATCATCATCATAAGGAGCATCAGGTGCAGTGATTCTTGTTATTTCAGTGATGCAAGAGGCAAGTGCAACTTGGACATCAGTATCCGGATGCCTTAAAAGCCTGTGCTCAACCAATGCATTCAACATCGGATCGAGTGCAGCTCGCATAGAATCTCTAGGTGACTGTTCCACCCTTGCTAAGTAACTATCAGCTCGCTGCAGCACACATGGAAAAAGATTAAATGAGATTGAAGACATGTTCAGTACTTTAATTTGATTCCCATTAATATAGAATTACATTCCAAGACATATGTATGTTTTGCCTGAGAGAAGTTTCTCTACTACTTCACCTCATTTCAAACACATATGCTGTACTTAAAATATTTTACATAATAAAACCAAAAAGAATCCAACCTTTCATACTGTCATAAACCAACCATCCCAAAGCTTATACTTCAATCTTCCGGCAAACAAGCAAGATTAATGTTGATTATAACATATTCTACATGCCATTGTTCTAATATGTGTGATACACTGTAAACACATTTAATAACCGCGCAAATAAATATGCAAATTTAGTGCAAATTTAACTCATTTCTAGGTATGATTTTCTTACTATAATCAACATATATTCTACAACATTAATTGAGCATTATAACCAGGCCAATTTAGGGTTTCAGATTAAAAAAAATTGGAATCAAAGCAAACAGAAAAAAAAAAAACATTTTTAAAATTCCATCTCCAAATTTGCGATTCCTGAACTTCATTTCCACTTAATGATATAACAAAACATAAATGGCATTACCAGAAGAAGAAAAATAAAAGTAAAAACAAAAATAAAACTGAAAAAGAGAGATTACATATAGCAGCGAGATGAGATGATCCACCGATGCAGGAGGATCTGCCAGCCTGTTCCCAACATCCAAAAGATGATTTTGCAACTCTTTGTTCTCAAACGCCATTGATAGAGCTCAATTAGAGCCTCTCCGTTCAGATCTTTCACTGAATCACTTCACTCTCCTCGGCTTCACAAAATCGAAGCCGTAAAACGCTTCAATTGAGCCGATTTGTACCTATACGGTGGTTTCCGATGAGACAAAGGGATTAGGGTTTTTTTTGCTAATGAAGAAGGAATAACAGACAAAACGAGAACGAAGAGTAAAAAAAAAAGGGGGAGAGAGAGAAAGAAAGTACAGTGAGGTTTGTCGAAAAGAAAAAGAAAATCGAAACTAAATTTTGTGAAATCCTATCCTATATTCTCTTCTCTCAAAAACTAAATTTTGAGACTTTATGACAAGAAGAGGGACATAATAGGGGTATTTATAGATTGGAAAAAATGTGTAAAATATAAAAAATTTCAAAAAATAATGAGATTAATTGGAATATAAAAATATGTAAAGCAAAAATAATTAATAAAAAATCTTATATAAATTGTTTTTATTGACTACAATTATTTTTATTTATTATTATTATGGGTGAGTGAATTTTTTAATATTTTGGTCAACAAAAGTATTATAAATCTTATTATTAGATAGGTATAAATATATAATATTAATATTATTAATAAATACATTGTATATAAATTTACTAGAGTTATTGACCAATATTATTAAATTATAAATTATTAATTAGGCTTGATATCACTTTTCTTATGCATTATGTAGTGAGGGTATTTTAGTCATGGTAAAATAACTCATACTCGTGGATACTTATCCGAACATGTTTTGAATTTGATAAAATAAATTTATTATGATTGGATTTGGGTTCAAGTTTAAATTTATTATTTTAGTTTTTGATAATTTAGAATATTAAATATATGGTTAATATTTTGATATTTTAATTTAGAGATTAATTACTATGCACTCTCAGTGTAAAAAAAAATTCACGGTCGATTCAGATTCATCATCATCTGTTTGAATTACTTTATGGATAGTTAAAATAAAAGTCAAACACTTTTTAACATCTGATGTCTGTGATTAAATGACAATGTAAACTCTTTTTACACATACAGTGTATTTCAATTAAATTTTTTAATTTATATTTATTATTTAAAATATTTGAAATAAATTAATGAAATCTTTTGAGATTTTTTATTTTATTATTTGTAATATAATTTGATTTTGGAAAAATAAATATTTTTATTTAAAAAATATTTTTACTAATTAGATGGTGGCGGAGTGGGAATACCCGAATCTTTTTGTAATGAGTTTGAATTTTAATTTTTTATTTTCAATGGGAATTAGGGCAGAGAACAGAAATTGTTTTGAGAATCGAGTTTGAGTTTGAGAGAGATAAAAATCATTTACATCAAATTAGTTTTTTTTGTCTAAGAGTTTGTTTGATAAGAAAAAAAAAAAGAGCTTTTATCTTATAACTTTTAGCTTTTCAGCTCATTTTAATTAAAAAACTTTGTTTGGTAACTATCTTTTAACTTTTAGTTTATAGTTTTTTAACTAACTTTTAGTTTTTTTTTTCAAAAGCTATTTGAAGTAGCTTTTAACTTATGACTTTTTATTCCAATTATACCCTTATTATTTTAACACTATATATATATATATATATATATATATATAGTCATAAGTTAAAAGCTACATTACACATTACTTTTATATATATATATATATATATATATATATATATATATATATATATATATATATATATATATATATATATATATATATATATATATATATATATATATATATATATATATATATATATATATATATATATATATATATATATATATATTGAAGAATTTAGAAAGATTTTGAAGAATGTTATAGAAGAACTTTACTATTTTTCTCTACTTTATTACACATTGTTTTTATTTATTAAATGTAAATTATATAATTAATTTAGAAATAGTGTTTATAATTCTCAACTTAGAAGAGTCAATAGAATCAATAAAGGTGGAGAAATTTTATAATATTATTACAGTTTTATTGTAAAATAAATATTAGACAATAAACTTATTTTTGTTATTATTTTAGATTAATATAACTAAATTCAAAATTACAATTTCCTGTATTTTATTAAATTTTATTATAAAATTATAAAAAATATATATATATTTTATAAAAGAATGAGTTAGCCCGATCAAAGAATTGTAGTTATTAGAATTACTTTTACTTTTATGTCCTCATAAATAGTTTTATAAAATACCCCTACTTCATGCATGGTTTACGGGTTCTTTTATTCATTGAATTCCATTGTCAATATATTCATACTAAATAGTAAAACTCATAAAACTTATATATAAATTATCAGGATTGCTATGTTAACACCATTTTCTACACCTTACACCCAATTTACTGTTCACAAGTACTTGAACAAATTCCTCAGAACATGGTTAATAGTGTGTATTTTATTGATTAATGAAGTAGTGAAAGTGGTTAATAAATTATATGTAAAATAATTGGCTAATGGTGTAGATTTTTGTGGTTAATGCAACTGTGAAGTTGGTTAATGCGCAATTTTATATTTGTGTTATAAAATAAATTTTAAAAATAAATATTTTTTTTAAAATTAATATTTTTAAAAAAAATATATTATTTTAATAAAAAAACACTGTTCACCGTATAAATACGGTGAACAGTATATACGGTGTAAGTATTGGGTGTAGAAAATGGTGTAAAAATAGCATTTTTCATAAATTATATATTTTCATGAAATCTTCAATTTTTCATATATATTAAATTATTTTACATGTTGTTATTAATACATTTACTTTTACGGAATAAAATTTAATTTAATAATATAATATAATAAGACAATGAAATCACACATTTTTTAATTAAAAATGTCATTTTAAGTCATTTTGTAATTATTAACTAGTGTAACAACTAATTTACCAAACACTCAAATTAACTTATCAGCTATCAATTATCAGCTACCAACTATCAGTTATAAACTAGTTTCACCAAAAAGACACTAAATATAAACAACAAGTCAATTTTTGGTGATGTGCCAAGCGTAACACTAACTTTTATGACTAAATTAGTGATAGAAAAATTTATCGCTAAAATAGAATTTATGAATTTTTATAATATTATTCATCTTCATGGTTAAATTCATTTGTTTTAGTTTTATAATATAACTAGCGTCCAAATAAGTAATATGTGTTCATTTGTCCCCTTCTTTTAATACTACGTGAAAATATAAACAAAATGGATAATTATTCTCACTATTATAAAAATAATATATAGAGAAAAAATGTTACTGAATTATAAAAAAAGTGAAAGAAATAAATTATTATAAATAAAATATATTTTCTGAAGTTAACATAAAAATAGTAGAATAAAGTAATATTTTTTATTAAAAAAATTAATAACTGTGTAATAGTAAAAAAAATCTAAGAATAAAATAAAAATGAAATCAAGTTACATCAAAAATATATTTTTCTTTTATATACAATTATATATAATTTAAGTGATTTATTTATAAATATTAATAATTTGTTTGAATTAATACATAAATATAAATATAAATTAGTCAAGAATTGAACTTTAGACCAATAACTTACACTCATCACTCATCTAACTCAATGGCATTAATGTGTGCATACTTTTCTATTATGTTTAATTGTGTATTTATTTTATTCCAACAATTTATTACTTTTTTATTTTTTTTATTAGATTAATGGTTATTACATACTCAAATAATTATGAAGGAAAAAATATGGTGTTTTTCATTTGCAAAATAATAAAGGCTTGTTTGAATAAGTTTTAATTTTTAATTTTTAAAATTAATTTTATAAATTAATTTTAAAATCAATTTTAAAGAAAAAAATATAAGAAAATATGTTTGGAAATCTCACTTTTAAAAACAATTTTAGAATTCTAAAATATTACAAATTTGTCATTGATAAAAAAGTGTATCCCTTTTTCTTTAAATTTTGAATATTAAAAAATAATTTTACAAAATAAAATCAAATAAATTCTAAATAACCAAAAGAACACTACTAAATAGTAAATAATAATAATAATAACAATAATATTTTTATTCTAATGTGTTTGATAGTTAATGCACTAAACAACTTTATCTACATATGTTCAGTGTATTCAAACAAAACAAAAAACAAATACATATTCAATGTATTTTTCTAGTATTAGAAGTATTTTATTTTGTTTAAGATAAAAGTCTATAATAATAATAATAATAATAATACTGAGATATAATTAAAATTATTAAGAACTTGCAACTTTTAAAATAATATTTAAAGTTAAAATAATACAATTAAGAAACAATATGCATCTAAACATCATTTTATATAATTTTAAAAATGAAAATGTGATGTATACATATTCATTTAGTGTATTAAAAAAAAAAACAAATATATGTTCAATGTATATTTATAGTTTTAGAAGTATTTTATGTTTTAAAGTCAAAGTTTATTAAAATAATAATATTAAGGTTGAATTCAAAATAGAAACTTACAAATTTTAAAATAATATGTAAAGATAAATTTATGCAATTATTGTTCACACAAATAACACATTAATGTTATATGATAAATTTTAAAGAAGTATATATTATATTTAAAAATTAATATGCATATATAAAAGTCATGTTATATAACTTTTAAAATGAAAATCGTGTGATATAAACATATTCAGTCAATGTATTTGAACAAAGAAACGAATACATGTTCAATGTATTTTTATATAATTTTAAAAGTATTTTATTTTTTAAGATAAAATATTATTATAATAATAATATTGAAATTGAATTTAAATCATTTAGAAACTTATGGATTTTAAACGAATATTTTAATTTTGGTTCAACTATTATCATTCATTCACGAAATCAATTTTCACTATTTTATTTTTAAAGAGTTTTAGTCATCATATATTTTTTTAGTTAGAAATATGTTGATATGTAACTTTTTAAATATGTGATTTTTATTGGGCGACATAGGTGTTTAATCACATTTAAGATGTCTTTTTTATTTTGTTAT